CTACTAAGTGTGCAGGACTAGCTTAATGTACTACTGAGTGTGCAGGACTGAATTTAATGTACTACTGAGTGTGCAGGACCAGTTTAATGTACTACTGAGTGTGCAGGATGAATTTAATGTACTACTAAGTGTGCAGGACTAGTTTAATGTACTACTGAGTGTGCAGGACTTGTTTAATATACTACTGAGTGTGCAGGACTAGTTTAATGTACTACTGAGTGTGTAGGACTAGTTTAATGTACTACTGAGTGTGCAGGACCAGTTTAATGTACTACTGAGTGTGCAGGACTAGTTTAATGTACTACTGAGCGTGCAGGACTAGTTTAATGTACTACTGAGTGTGTAGGACTAGTTTAATGTACTACTGAGTGTGCAGGATGAGTTTAATGTACTACTGAGTGTGCATGACTAGTTTAATGTACTACTGAGTGTGCAGGACTTGTTTAATATACTACTGAGCATGCAGGACTAGTTTAATGTACTACTGGGTGTGCAGAACTACTGTATTCAAGTAATTGATATGTAATAAATTTGTGTAGGTGTTCTTTTTTATTAGGTTATGATATTTGATAATACCTGATGTTACCTTTTGATTGTGATAAAACAAACCAAGTATTTTCATCATCATTATTAGCTATAACATCTCAGGGTCTTAATTTTGGTGTGTTGTGGTTATTGTAGCATATGGTTATTGTTGGCAATGCCAACAGTCAATGGTCCCGGTTTTTTTTTGGTAATGCAAGTGGTGGCAGCCCCGGCAAGTAAGGTTACCAATGAAGAAAAAGTTAAGTTTAAAAAATGAAATAAAACTGGTTGACTTTACATATATCTATACATACACGTATATATATACTTCAATGAAATTTATCTTTTTCTAGCTTTGAATACATAAGATTAGTTTTGTGTAAACTTCTAAAACAGTATTACTGCTTGTGGACATTATTTTATATCTTAACATACTGTCACAGATCGTCATATAGCAGTTGTATGTGTACAATGGTTGTATTGTAAACTTAGTTTTAAACTGAGCATGCCACAAATACCTCATCAGTCTTTTTTAACTAAACATTGCATATATTTGTGTTTGTTTTAAACATTTAAAAGATCTCAGTCACCTCTAGTGTTCTATAACACAAGCAGTTTGTTTAAACACTCTGTAACTGATAAATTCACCTTGTTCACGGCATGTTAATGCTTATTCTTACAGTGTTTCCTGTAGAAGTTAGTTCATTGATATTGTAGAAAATTGAAGCTTTCAACAATATTTGTTACTTATAACTTTTAATAAGTTTATACACACAACATTAAAATTGTACCCAGGAGTGGTAACGATATCAGGGGTTTCAAGTGTCTTAAGGCATTCCTGGTGGTGCTTGGTCATGGTTCCTAAAGAGATAACTTTCTCTGGTTTCTAAGGGCCAGGTTCCAAATCCCAGTATCTGTGGGTGAAGAAATATATTCTATTTTGGCGTAAAAATTGATAAGTACCACAGTACTATATGGATTTGAGACCTGGCAGAATACATTTATTATTTCGTATAAACTTGTGAACGTATATGTAGATGTTCGATGCAAGACACCAGTACTATCTCATCAGTGGGATGGCATATACGAAATAGGGTTGGGAGTATTTTTTCTGACTGTATCCCCCCCACAAACCGAATGAGGGGAGTTGGGTGGCAGTAGTGGTTTATAACACAACTTATATCACCGTGAGATAAGTTGTAAGCTCTACCTCAGGCTTTTAAAAGTCAAATCAAAATTTGTGCACCCTTTCTGCTCTCACTTTTATGACCATTTTTATCACTGAATCTTGATATAATCTATACAACTTGGCACTGTGATGCTTGGAGGAGATAGTTTACCCATTTTATTGCAGCTTCCATGTGTGTGTGTGTGTATGTCACTCATCCTACCACAAGTTGTTCATGATCAGTTTATGCATTTTAGTAAGATAAAGTACCCTTTGTTTTACCTAAGAGTGGTTAAAAAATATACAAGTAAAACTAGACAAACTACTAAGTGATAGAATTAAAAACGCTTGAACTAAAGCAATGTGTATGTATAAATATCCATATATACACACAATTATAAAACAACCTGGCTCACATAGATTGTTCTATATTTCAGTAATGCTAATCCTTATTAAGTATTTGAAAGGTTTTTTATGTGTACAGTAAATGGGTTCTAACATATAATCATCTTAGCCATCAACACCAACAGTATTTGTAAATGTTTGTTAAACTGTCATTCTCTCTACCTCCATGCATATTCAGGGTTGTGGGGCTGTTTGGAGCAGCACCTAGAGCTCCACCCCAAACTACACCATATACCGAAGTGCCAGGCTCTCTAGGTGTAGCTCCTCGACACCCACTACACCCCTTCTAGATTAAATCTAGATATTAATGTAGGTGAAAGAACACTTTGAAACCCTCTTTACCTAAAGGTTATTTTTGTTATCATCCATAAGATTTAAATTTAAGCTATGTACAGGAATGTAAAAAAAAAAAAATAGGGGGAAAGATGAATTTAAGCAAATTATGTTGACAAATTCTCTATGTTGTGTAAATAACAGCAGAGGAGATATCTTATTATTTACCAACCTGCTAAGACTCATCTTGGTGGTGTGTTACATTAGGTCTTAGCATAGCTTTTAAGGTCATCTCCTTCATGTTCTCGACTTAACCCAATCATCAAATTCATTGACTGTTTTTTCATTCCTTTTTTATTTTTAAATACAGGTAATTGTTATGCATCTTTTTTGTGTGTACTGTCTGCTGGTAAATGTTTAGAAGTTCTAGAGAAGACAGTATAACATTGAAAGTTGATCTTTATAGTATGTCATTATTGTAACTGATGGTACGATTATCGAACAGATTTAAAACATATTACAGCTAAGCTTTTGAATGCACCTTGTATGGCCACCTAGTCAGAGCAGGCAAGTTTGATAAAAAAAAACTGAAAGTTTGTTTGATTTATTTAGTTTTTGTTATATATACATATATCCTATGTATATTAGAGGCAGAGCATGAGTTCCTTGTACCTATGGTGCTAATTTGGTTTCACAACATTCCAACTGGTGGATTAGAAACTTTTGCTTCTGCATTCAGAAATACTTATTGGTAGTTTGCAATGGAAACAACAACAAAAAAAAAAAAAAAATAGGTGAAGAAACAGCCATTATTATTATTACTATTACCATGGAGGAGGGGAAATTTTTATTGCCACTTGTGTTTTCTAGAATAAAATTGTAAATCTTTGTCTTAACTTGTAAACGTCTTTATTGTGTTGCCTGTGAATTTATCATAAATAAAACTTGTTTTGGTAACATTTAGAAAAAACAATGTTTCTGTACTTGGGCTATTAACATCCTGTTGCTTTGTTTTGTTGAATTTGTATTTCTTGAGGGCAATAAACTGAAGACAGATTTCCACACGCTTTATAATTGTACTTTATCATTGACACATGTTTCAAGTTTGTTTTTGTAAGTATTGTTCTACATAATACCGGTACCATAATGCTAGACAAAATTTGTTAATTTCTCTCTGCTTTATATGAAAACAAACATACACACACGTATGACTAACCTCAATACTTACATACACACACGTATGACTAACCTCAATAATTACATACATACGAGTATGACTAACCTCAATACTTACATACATACGAGTATGACTAACCTCAATACTTACATACATACGAGTATGACTAACCTCAATACTTACATACATACATACGCGTACGACTAACCTCAATACTTACATACATATGCGTACGACTAACCTCAATACTTACATACATACAAGTATGACTAACCTCAATACTTACATACATACATGTATGACTAACCTCATTACTTACATACATACAAGTATGACTAACCTCAATACTTACAAACATACACGTATGACTAACCTCAATACTTACATACATACAAGTACGACTAACCTCAATACTTACATACATACATACACGTATGACTGACCTCAATACTTACACACATACACGTATGACTGACCTCAATACTTACACACATACAGTATGACTAACCTCAATACTTAAATACATACATACAAGTATGACTAACCTCAATACTTACATACATACATACAAGTATGACTAACCTCAATACTTACATACATACACGTATGACTAACCTCAATACTTACACACATACACGTATGACTAACCTCAATACTTACATACATACAAGTATGACTAACCTCAATACTTACATACATACATACACGTATGACTGACCTCAATACTTACATACATACACGTATGACTAACCTCAATACTTACATACATACAAGTATGACTAACCTCAATACTTACATACATACATACAAGTATGACAAGTATGACTAACCTCAATACTTACATACATACATACAAGTATGACTAACCTCAATACTTACATACATACACGTATGACTAACCTCAATACTTACACACATACACGTATGACTAACCTCAATACTTACATACATATAAGTATGACTAACCTCAATACTTAAATACATACATACACGTATGACTAACCTCAATACTTACATACATACATGTATGACTAATCTCAAACGTGTATTTAAGAACTGATTTTAAAGATAAAGTATTAGAAATATAAATTTTCCGCAAAAGCTTATTTCTATCTATGGCATTTTCTTATGAAAATGAAACCTATTGTTAATATAAAACGTGTATTTAAGAATTGATTTTAAAGATAAAGTATTAAGTTACTATGTAACCACGTAAAACTATGCTAAACAA